CCCCCCTTTCTGTTGTGTGGCCAGAGTTAGTGACAGTTTCAACTGCTGTCATGAAATGATTTCCAATTTAAGTTTCAATAACTAATTATTAAATTTCCTCTGTGTTACAATTTAAGTATGTATAATCCGTGAAGTATGCCTGCCTTATTAAATAATGGAATATCGGTGTGGGGACATCTAAGAGGTTTCTCTCTCTGACCTTTTATATTTTATTGCCCTGGTGATTCTTATTACACAGGAACGGGAGGGAGAAAGAAACAAGCCCCTGTAACCCCTTTCCCACCACCCGCATCCCTCTGAAGACAGCACAGCTCAGAGACCAAGTGCTGGGAATGGAGGGCTTCCGTTGGGCGCCTTAGGCTTATTAACAGTAGTTTCCTAATACACCAGGTCATCAGGCGGCGTGGCCGAAATGGCCTGTTGGAGAGGAGCCTGCTGTCTGTCTCATCTCGGGTCCTCCCTGCTCACTTAAGAGCAGGAGCCAGGGTTGAAGCTGATGTAGTCTAGCATCTGAATATAATATGATTCTTGGGAGCTGGAGCCAGGGTTGAAGCTGATGCAGTCTAGCATCTGAAACCAAAATTCTCAAGTCCTTTGTGAGAGGGGAGGGGGCAAGAAGGAGCCCAGCTGCCGACGCTCTGCAGGCCTCCTTAAGACTAAACACCCAAAAGGAAATTTCAGGAGCGTGATGTCTTGAGGGCTCAGGAGGAAAAGTGTCCTCCGAGTATTAAGTAACCCTAACCCGCCCCCCTCTCCGTCCTCACCCCCATTTGATGTTTCCCACCCCGGTGCCCTAGCTCAAAGACTCAGCCACGTGACCCGGATAAACAGGCTGCTCCCACACACCTCTCTCCCTCATCAAAGCCGCACCAGCCGTCTGGGGCCGGGCATGGCCTCGCGCAGCCGTCGGGCGCGTGGTGGTGAAAGTTATAAAACACCCACTCGGGCTCGCTGAGCTGCCCGCGTTCCCGGGCCGGCCGGTGTGCGCTTTGGAAATTACGGGAGGAAACACGTGCTTTGACAGAGGATAATTAGCGCTCGCCGAAGGCCAAGCAGTAGGTTGCAGCATTTCACTTTCATCAAAGCTATCAGGGGATCAGTTAGATTAGATAATAGAAATTTTTCTCCTCTGAAAGTTAAATACAGATGACTGTAATTACCTTCTATTGCACGTTAGAGAGCGCGTTATGAATAGCACGACTTCGAGAGCTAGGCCAGCCGAGACCCCGCCGCTGGCAGCAGCTTCAGTCTCCGTGACTGCAGCAAAGGCCCCCCAGCTCCCGCTTGAGCAGGCTCCTTTGTGGTGACGACATCAGGGAGGGTTCTAAGCGAAGCTTGTAACTTGGTTTTAAAATATGTGTGACAACAGTGTTGTGATCACCAGAGAGGAAGGGGCTGGGGGCAGGTAGAAGAGGGTGTAGGGGGGATAAATGGTGGTGGAAGACTGGACTTGGGGTGGTGAGCACACAGTACAATGTACAGATGGCGTGTTGTAGAACTGTGCACCTGAAACCTGTATAGTTTTATTAACCAGTGTCACCCCAGTAAATTCAATGAGAAGTAAAAAGTAAATAGGAAAAAAAATGTGTGTCTCTAGCCAAGCCATTGTTCGGGATGACCCACCGAAGCCTCTTAAACCGAAAGCATATGTTCCTGTAATTTAGCTTTTGGAGGAAAGTGTCAATTCTGCATGTCTCGGGGTAACCGAGTTTGTCACAGTGTCACACAACCCCGCGATTCCAGAGGCCGTCTGAGGCCTGTGGGTTTCCTTCCCCGAGCTTGGTAATCCCATAAACAGCCCTCTCCAAATAGGCTTATTAGGGCTGTCTGTTCCCTTCCCTGGAGCTGAGTGATCGGAGTGCGGCCGGAGAAGCTGTGTGAATGCGGGGTGAGTGTTAACAGAAGTGGGACAGAATTTCTGCAGATTTGGCTTTGTTTATACACTCCACTCCGCCTGACGGACAGCTTGTTATAGCTTTTAAAGAACTGGGCAAGCCCTCTGATCTGACCCCTTCTTGACCTCTGCAGCCCAGAGGTCAGTCTGCAGCTAATAAACTGCAAGGCTCTTCAGGTCTACTGTAGGAAAAGGCAGAGAAAGAGCAGCTGCAAGGACTGGGCGTCCCCAGATAGGCTGCTTTAGGGTCACTCTCTGATAATGAAAATGATTACCAAATTATATGGAAGTTTAACTGCAATAGCGAGTGAGAGGAGGGTGGAGCCCGGCGTATTAGGTTTGATAAATGAACTGTGAAGAGGCCCATCTGGCTCTCCACATCTTTTCTCCCCCTCGCTCCCTACCAAGGGGAAACATTTTAAAATAACAGCAGTACATATAGACTCAATGACCCATGCAAGGAGCTGGAATGGATTAAGATTTAATGGTGACAGTGGGAGAAATTATCATTTGAAAAGTGCACTAAAGAAGAGGTACAGTTCCGTGTCCGTGCCTCAGTTGTTTTCCTAAAGAAAACAGAGTCAAAATCAGTGCCTTTGTTTATCTTACACAAATCCCTAGCGCCCTTCCTTGATTGCTGACAATTTCGAGGGCGTGTTGATCATGGAATAATTACTCGTGGTCAGTGTGAGGAAAGCAGTGGGCTCCCTTTGCCTCCAACATGTCAGGGTGAGAGTCAAGCACCTGATTTCTGTCCCTCGCTCGGTGTAGAGAATGTAGGTAAGTCATGTGTTGGAGAAAATGCTTTGCAAAATTTGCAGTCCATTTCAACATCTGCCCGCTGAACAGCGCGCGGTTTTTGATGCTGAATAGACGCGTGACTCTCCACGCGGTTGTATTTTTTCTACAAGCAGTTTATCTGTAACAGTTAAGGAGCAGGCACATAGTGTTCATCAAGTAGGTAGCTTGTTTCTTTCTTGACTGCTCTTTCAAAGACACATCAGAGTGATGATGGGCACATCCCAGGTATGTGTTCATTGACTGTTAATTGATGAGTAACCTGGTTAAAGCTGTCTCCCAGCTTCCTGCGGACAGTGTCCTGGTGTCTGACCAGCAACACTGGAGATCACAAAGCTCTGTCCTCCAGAGACGGCCCGCACATCCCGCGACTCCACTTTCTGAAGCAATAACGCTTTTATTTAACAAGCATTTTTGTATGTTTTGTATGCCTACCATATACAAGATACCAGGAGAGGATGGGCTCAGCAGCCAACTTAAGAATGTGTCTGGGGCTGAGAATTTAGCAAGTTACCCAGAAGAGCCTGTGGAAGGCGGCGGGAAGGAAAGCGATGCAGCACGTTGCCTCTGCCCACTCAGGGAAGGAGCTAATTGTAGATGTCTGTGAAGACCAGAATTGCTGTGCCGTCAAAAACCTTTATCTTGAACTACATCGTCTACGTAATGCAAGCCTCGCCCAGACAATAATTATATTTAAAATAGAAATAAAAGGCTCTTAAACATTATTCCGAATGAGCCTTTCTTTCACCTTTGGTTTTGACTTGATTGCACATATCCGTGGCCATTGACAAGTGGGCAGAAGGTGAGGTGATGGATTATGGGGAGAAATGAGGGACTCCTTTAGAACTGAGTGTGCTTTTTAACGTAAAACAGTGCTACTGCATTTACGTTACGTAAGGTACGGACTCAAAAAATAAGACAAAAACCAGACCATTAGGGGTTTTAAAAATTGAGATATAATTCACATAATATAAAATTTCAATATCCAGTTCCAGAGCATTTCCCTTACCCCAAAATGTAACCTTCAACCTGCTGCCAGCCACTCTCAGTTCCTGTCTTCACA